AGTATGAAAAATTGCAGGTCTCAGATGTGGGAAATGCGAACATGGGTTCGCAATTGCGAACCCAGCAGGCTTGGGAATTGCGAAAATGGTTTGGGAATTGCGAACATGGGAATTGCGAAGAAAGTTTGGGAAATGCGAACAGGCTTGGGAATTGCGAACATGGGAATTGCGAAGAAAGTTTGGGAAATGCGAACAGGCTTGGGAATTGCGAAAATGGTTTGGGAATTGCGAACATGGGAATTGCGAAGAAAGTTTGGGAATGCGAACAGGCTTGGGAATTGCGAAAAATGTTTGGGAAATGCGAACCTGGGAATTGCGAAGAAAGTTTGGGAAATACGAACAATCCTGGTAATTGCGAAAAATGTTTAGGAAATGCGAAACCTGCAGACCTGCAATTCCTTAAGTACAAAATTTCACCCTGTGGCCTATCCAAAACTCACCCGAGCCCTCGGGGCTCCAAACCAAACATGTACACAACCTCAAAAACATCCTACGGACTTATCCGTGCGATCAAATCGCCAAAATAACATCAAAATCATTGAATCAAGCCCCAAATTCATCATTTTTCATTATAACTTCATAAACTTCAAACTTCAGATATTTGGGTCCGAAACACGTCAAATGACGTCCGATTTCGACCAAATTTTACAGAAAGCGCTTAACACATATTTAAGACTTGTACCGGGCGTCGGAACCATAATACGAGCCCGATACCACAGTCTTTTAATCAATTTTCATTTCCTTTTTCCTTAATAATTTCAGAGAAACAATTTCACAGAAAAATTCTTTCCTCGGGCTCTAGACATCGGAATTCGACTCCGGGCACATGCCCGAGTCCCATATTTTTCTACGAACCTAGACCGTCCAATCTCGGGTTCGGGTCCGTTTACCCAAAATGTTGATCAAAGTCAACTTTAATCATATTAATATCAAAATTTATCATTTTTCACACATAATTCATATTTAAGCCTTCCGGCTACACGCCCGGACTGCGCACGCAAATCGAGGCAAGTAACAATGAGGTTTTCAAGACCTCGGAAGCACGGAGTGGATGAGAAAATAGGTGATAACCGTTTGGGTCGTCATAATTGGACAGACAGATCAGGAAATTGAGGTCAAAGAACATTGCTTCAGTGAAGGTTCAGTGGCGGGGTCAGCCGGCCGAGGAGGCGACTTTTGAGACCGAGCGGGATATGCGCAGCCAGTACCCTCATCTTTTCACTACTTCAGGTATGTTCTCTATGCTCGTTCGAGGACGAACGAATGTTTTAGTGTAGGAACATGTAACGACCCGGCCGGTCGTTTTTGGAATTTACGCCCCGATCCCCCCTTAACTGCTTCCCCTAAGTTCATTTCTGCTATTTTGGTTTGCCGGGATGTTCGGTGTTAGGATTCGGAGTGTTTTGGGACACTTAGTCCCTAAATGAGAGCTTAAGTGTTGAAAAATGATCCGAAGTCGAAACAGTGTGCAGACGACCTCGGAATGGAAATTCGATAATTCCGTTAGCTCCGTTAGGTGATTTCGGGGTTGGGAGCGTATTCGTAATGTATTTTGGAACTCCGTAGCTCATTTAGACTTGAAATGCCGAAGTTTGAATTTTTGAAGTTTCCGGTCCGATAGTGAGTTTTTGATCCGAGGGTCGGATTCGAATTCCGGAAGTTGCAGTAGCTCCGTCATGTCATTTGGGATGTGTGTACAAAATTTCAGGTCATTTGGACGTGTTTTGGTTAGGTTTTTGATCGAAATCGTATTTGGAAGGAATTTGAAGTTCTTAGGCTTGAATCTTTGATTAATTCGGGTTTCCGGCGTTGTTTTAGGTGTTTTCAAGATTGGTACAAGTTTGAATAAGGTATTAGGTGGTATTGGTGCTTTTGGTTGAGGTCCCGGGGGCCTCGGGATGATTCCGAATGGTTAACGGAGGAAAATTTCTAAGTTTGCAGCAACTGATATTTTGTTCCTTCTGGTATTTTCGCTTCTGCGGCTTGGGAACCGCAGAAGCGGAGCCGCAGAAGCGGCTCTCTCATCGCAGAAGCGAGTTTGGTCCCCCCCTCAGGAACCGCAGAAGCGGTTATTTATCCGCAAAAGCGGAGGTCTGACCTTTTAAAAGAAGCCGCAGAAGCAGCCAGTGTTTCGCATAGGTGGGACCGCTTCTGTTTCGCATAGGCGGGACCGCAGAAGCGGTCCCTAGACTGCAGAAGCGGCATTCCCTGTACAGATATAGAAATTCGAGGGTTTTAATTTCATAAGTTGGAGAAATCAATTGAGAGCTCGGTTTTAGGCGATTTTGAGTGGGTTTCGAAGAGAAGATCACTTGGTAACGTTTCTTTGGTCCCTTTTTGTTATATTTCATCATTATATAGTTAAATACATCATTGGAATTCGAATTTAGGATCAAAAAATTGGATAATTTGGGGTAAAACTTTATTGCCTAAACTATTGAGTTTTGAGTGGGCATTTGACCTCCGATTTGGGAGATTTTTATATGGTTAGACTCGTGAGAGTACGAGGGTTCTAAAAATGTGAAAATTATTCGATTCCGAGACGTTGGCCTGAAGGGCATTTTGGTCATTTCACCTAATTTTACGTCGTAGCTTTGAATTTATTAGAAAAACCAAGTGTTTGCGATGTTATTTACGATGAGTAATTGAATTGAATAGATTTAAGCCATTTGGAGTCGGATACTCATGGCAAGAGCGTGGTTTCTAGTTGATATTGAGCCGGTTCGAGGCAAGTGGCTTGTCTAACCTTGTGTGGGGGACTTTTCCCTTTAGGACATGATCTTTGAATATTTGAATGCCTCGTACGTGAGGTGACGAGCGCGTACTTGAGCTAATTGTTGTAAACCCGTTTCTACTTGAAGTATTTAAATTGAGATTTCATGTTTACTTGTTCATTTTAAACTGTAAGTTTATACCTGTGCTAGCTTAGAGACTCATGTTTATCTGGCATACTTGCTAATTGTTTAGCTGTGCTATTTGTACTCTGTGGAGCATGTTAGGCTAGAATTTACTATTTCTTGTCCGGATCTTTTAGCATTATTCTGAGATTATGAGTTGCTTGTTGTTGTGTGTATAATTTGGGACTACGGGACGGCTTCCCGGGAGATCCCCCTGTACTTGAGATATTCTGGACTGAGGGTGCGGGATACCAAGAGATCCCTAGCACATGTGTTTCTAGAGAGATCCTCGGGATACCGAGAGATCCCTAGTGTATATGATGAGGATACCAAGAGATCATCGGGATACCAAGAGATCCCTAGTGTATATGATGAGGATACCAAGAGATCCTCGGGATACCAAGAGATCCCTAGTATATATGATGAGGATACCAAGAGATCCTCGGGATATCAAGAGATCCCTAGTGTATATGATGAGGATACCAAGAGATCCTCGGGATACCAAGAGATCCCTAGTGTATATGATGAGGATACCAAGAGATCCTCGGGATACCAAGAGATCCCTAGTGTATATGATGAGGATACCAAGAGATCCTCGGGATACCAAGAGATCCCCGACTATTATTCCTTGTTGATGGCAGTTTTCCTTGTATTGTACCTTGCTTTCTATTACTGTTCTTCCTTATTTACCTGGTTTAGAATTCTCGTTGTAGACTTTATTTAAACTGTTTTTGTTATCTTATTATTTATTATGTTATCTCAGTAGGGCCCTGACCTTCCTCGTCACTACCCAACCGAGGTTAGGCTTGGCACTTACTGAGTACCGATGTGGTGTACTCATGCCCTTCCTGCGCATATTTTTCATGTGCAGATCCAGGTACTTCCTCCCAGGTGTATCATCCTCGTGGTGGAGAGTTCTAGCTGAGACTTGAGGTATATCTGCTACGTCCGCAGACCAGGAGTCTCTACTCTATTCCGGCTTTAGCAGATAGTTCCTTTCTTTCCTTTCATGTTGTTAGACATTCTGGTGTAGAGCAGATCACTACATTCTATTAGCCTGCGTTTCCCGTGAGTTTCCGGGTTTTGGGATTTAGTTGTAGACTTCCGCATATGTTTGAGTTGTTTGGGCCGAGTGGCATTATATACAGTTGTTATTTCCGTATGTTCAGTTTTAATTAATTATTCCGTAAATATTAATTTGTTATTCCACACTGTTAGGCTTACCTAGTTGTAGGAACTAGGTGCCATCACGACATGTTCATGGAGGGTGAACTGGGTTCGTGACAATTAGGTTTAATGGTTATTTTGGTATATGATATATTTTGTTAAGGGCATTTTTGGTAAGAAGAAAAGCCAAAACTGCTTCTGCTTCTGCTTTTGGGAAGAAACTACTTTTTTCTGCTTCTCCGAAACTGCTTCTGCTTCTTCCCAAAAGCACTTTTTTCTCTCAAAAAAGCTTGGTCAAACGCCTCAAGTTAGAAAAAAAAAATGCTTATGGGAAAAAAAAGCACTTTTGACCTCTTGAGAAGCTTGGCCAAACAGGCCAAGTAAGATAAATTAACAAGCACGAACCATAAATGGTCATAACATTTGAAAATTTAAAATTCAAACGTATTACAAATCCAACAAGACAGCTACAGTGAATCTCTTTTAAATATATTTTTGTAACGCTTTTGTTGAATAGGAACATACATTTAATATGAACAAAATTATATAAACTTTGTATTTCTATTTTCTCATTATATATGGTTTAAGCTTCAAGCTTTAGGTTTCTATCAACGAAACTCTATTTACGTATTAGGGAGAGGCGTACACTACTGGGCACATAAGGTAAGATTGGATTAAGCAATTTTTTTTTTCTTTCTAAAGACAAACAATAAATTAAAAGATAATAGTTGATTGAATTCAATATTTATCTTTTGACTTTTATTATCGATATATAAAAATTATACACAAATTATATACCATTACATTATAAGTCCTCAATCTATTTTTAGTTTTTAAGTTAGTTCTTGTAATAAAATTTCAACTACTAGTTTTCTTTGCCTTTGTAGTTGTTAACCCCCCCGCCTCCTAACGACGTCGTATAAAGTCCCAAACTCTCACTAATGACAAAACCCAAAACCCAAAACGCTGCTTCACTCCATCCTAGAACCCTAACAACAATGGCGGATTGTGAGTCGAAATCAGAACACAAAAAGATGAAGAAGATGAAGACGAAGAAACGAAAGCAACAAACCACCAATGAAGTTGAAGAACAAGTCCATAACAGACCTTCAAAATCCCATCGCACCAACCAGCAGCCCGCCGAAGTTGAAGAACCAATAATAGTTCTGCCTGAAATTGAAGAATCATTTAAGCTTCAGGATAACTCCCCATGGAGAAACCTACAGTTGATTTTGTCTCTTCAGAATAACTCTATCCCTCTCCAACAGTCAGTACTATTACTTCACTTCACTCTTCAGCTATATTTTGACTATAAAACTGTTTTGTTTTGTTTTTAGCTAGGTTTGGACATAGATTTGGTTGAAAAAGAGTTTTTGAAGTTGCTTTGAAAAATAATTTTCCAAAGTTGAAGTTGAGTTTGGACATGCATTTTATTTGAAAAAACTTAGAAGTTTTGTGAGCGGAAGAAAAAATTTCACCCAAATTGCCCTAAACTAAATTCTGGGAACTTGAATAAAAAAGTCAAAACTTTTTAAAAAACTGATTATATTCCATGAACAAACAATGTTTTAAAAAAAATTTGAAAAAAATTGCCAAAATCTATGGTCAAACGGGAGCTTAGTTTGGAGTTGTTTTGCTTTGCTTGCAAGTGTTTGAATTTGGTTTTAGGAGAACTGATTTTGTTATTACTTGTAAGAGAAACTTGCTTTATGTTTTTGATTACTTTACTTTTACCTTGTAAGTAACTATCTTTAATCCAAGCTAGTTTAGGTCGGCTATATGAACAATCAATTTCCATGTTGCTATGTTTTTTAGACTCATCTATTGTGAGGATTAATCATAAATTGACTAGTTTATGCTGTCTGTTAGCAATGTTAGAGTTTGTTTTGTCCTAAAACAAGAACAAAACAAGACTGATGGTTGGACAAGAATGCAAAAACAACTCATTAAAAAAAACAGAACATCTAAGGTTGCGAGTGGTTCATAAAAATTGAAAAAGAGTTTCTGCAAATGTTTTTCCGGAAACTGTTAAAACTAACTGAATTTTTTTTCTCTTTTAGCGTTTGGTGTAAAAGCAGCTTTTGCGAAAAACTGAAATTTTGCTTTCGTTGCAAAAGTTCTTCAACTTTCTGAACCAGACACCACCTATTATTTCATGTCAAAACATTAGTGTTCTCACATTTGATTATAGTGAATTGATGATTTTCTTCTAATAAACTAATTCTAGTGCAGAAAATTGGAGATGGCATATAATTATGTGAAATCAAGAACAGAAGGGACAGGTGAAAGCAGGGAGGAAATGCAGACAGTAAACTTTTCGAGAGTGATAGTTTTCCTTAATAATTGGGTTCAGAAAATACTGGTTTCTTCTGAAAAGAAAATTAGGGTGGAAGGAGACAAACATGGGATGGAAATTGCAGGGTCATATTTAGATTACAAATGTTGGGTGATTTTCAAGTTCTGCTTGGAGGAATCAAAAAAGATGGGTGTTTCATTACACTTCTTAAGGGACTTGTTACGGGTAGTCCAATATGTTTCAAGGGATGCATTGATACGTCTGGGTGATGAGCCTATGGTTAGTGAAGAATTGGAGTTACATAGCATAGTCCTTGATTGCATATCCTTAGTGTTCTCATCTCATGGGGGTATTTCTAGTGAAAATCTAGACTTGTGGATTTCATTGATTAGTATAGTGGTTGAATCTGTCCAAAAGGTTCTCAATGATAAGCTTGAAGGCACGAAGGCGGGTATTTTTGCCAAGCAGTTGTCTTGTTACTTGCTTGAGCCATTTGCTAAATTTCTAAAAGTCCATCCAACTCGTAAAAATGGTTTCCGCGATTTTATAGATAAGCTTTTTGAAGATTTGGTGATCTTGTGGGATGCTTTAGATGTTAATGCCTTTGAAACCAAACCAGAATGGAAAAGAAATCTACTTGTATTGATAGAAGAAGTTTTAACGCAGGCATTGTTCCATCCAACTCATATTGATGGATTTTTGAGCCTTCAAAGTACATCCAAGTATAGACATACTGATGATAAAAAATCAAAAGAGGAGAAAACTTTCATAAAAAGTTACCATAGACACTTATTTGATAAGTTGGGGAAGATTATAACCGGGAAGAATGCATCAGCAGTCAGTGGTGCTGGAGAGCTGCTACGTCTGTTCATTAATTGTATTTGTAGGAAAAATGGGGTTTCAGTCGGTGCAGACGCATTTAAGTTCCAGGATGGCAATTCTGCTGCCTTTTTCAAGAGCTCTTCCAATAGTTCTGCAATTTCAAAAAGTCCTCCTTATTATGGTCTGGATGCAGAAGCGCGAAAGTCAGTTTTTGATTTTTTTGTAGAGATTATGGAACTTTTCTTATCAGAGATTTATGCTCACTCACAAGCCAAACTGGAAGCTGGACCTCTGTATTTGAAAGTTAATAGCACATTAAGATCTATCAATAAATTGCTTGCAAATTGTGTACTGGAAAAGGTTTATATACGAACTGAAGATACATCAGAAGGAGCTTGCTTTAAATTTCTGAAGTTAATTTATGATGCGATCATGTCGCTTACTGCCCAAATGAATCAATTACTACAATCATTTGCCGCTTCAGAAGAGCAAATACCCGGGCAAGTGTTGATTCTAGCAGCCAAGGAAATTTTTCTTGCTATTCATTATTTAGTGGATATTGAATATGAGGTTGTTGGGGAAGATCTAGAAAAACTATGGGGTATGATACTTGCTCTTACAGCCAGTAGTCACTCTCTACTGAGCGCTTCAGATCAGCATTTGCTGACTTCAGAGGTACTTAAGCTTGGATGCAGATTGGTTCACCTCTACAGTGAACTTCGACAGGTTTGTGGAGTTTCTTTGACTAGGTTGCAGAAAGTTAATTTTGATGTTGAGGGATAACTTAAATTTTTTAGAAGGGTATGACACCTTTACATAACATCTTAGCTTCATGACCACTATCCACCTTCTTCTTCTGCACCCTATGTGCTAGTGATAATGGGTGAGCTTAACTTCTAATTTCATGCTTTATTATTGTTAATTTTTTGGGGATTGAACTATTTTGTGGTCCTTGTTTTATCCTGAACTTTATAGGTTAACATTGCCATATTCACGCTAAGCAAAGCTGTTAGAGAAGTAGTATCATCATTCAGAAGCAACGAAGCATCCAGAGCTTCTTTTCTCTATCACTCATTTGCTAATTCTCTTAGCATGTTAATGTGCTCTCCAGAATTCAGACTTTCCATCAGAAATGCTGTCAAGTCCATTCCTGAGGGCCAAGCAAGTGGATGCATCCGACAGTTGATTGTAGATATTACAGAATCTCTAGAATGGATAAAATCCAAATATCAGTTGCCTGCTGAGAGTGATTCTGCAGAACCATGTTTGAGTAATCGCGGCACGCTTTGCTTTGATCTAAAAGCCGAGCTTTTCGGGAAAAGTTTGACTGAAGTGTATACCCTTATTCTCGACTCAATGACTGTTACTAGCGGTAATAGCAACCTCATTGCTCTTTCCGTGAAAGATTTGATGGCTGTTATCCGTCCTGGTTTGAGTAGCCTGGTCTCGCAAGGTCCAGATGTTCTTAACATGTTCTTTCCTTTGGTAACGGACAGAACATTCAGTAAGGCAACTGCACTTGGGAATGACGTCCTATCAGTATGCTGGATTTTGGTCTTTTTCTTTCGTTTATATATGTCTTGCAGAAGCTTGCAAAGACAAGCCATTAGCCTGATGCCTCCAGATGCATCAAGGACGATGTCAAGAGCAATTGCTGATTCTTTTGCAGCTTATTCTGCAAAGGACTGGCTGGAGAGGACTGTTTGGGAAGACGAAAGTTATTTTTCTTGGGTTGTCCAACCTTCAGCTCCTCTTCCTGCTGTTATACATATTATTGCTGAGTTTTGTCATCAGCACACTGTTATAGGTTGCTGTCCCCTTATTTATGTGTTGAGTGGTATGGCTCTTCAAAGACTTGTTGATTTAAATAGGCAAATGAAATCCATTGATTACTTGCTTCAGAAGAATAATAATCTAGTCCAGGCTAGGTTAGACAGTGATGCTGGTCTGTCATCATACTCCAAGGATACTAAAAAGTGGAAAAAGCATGTCTCAACTCTGAGGAAAGAGGCAGCAGGCCTCACAGAATTCATGATGAGATATCTCTCATTAGTGACTGAAGATAGGATATCTAAGTCCTCAGTGGATCAAGTAAGCCGTAAGGATACATATCTCGATTATCTGTATGAAACCGAGGTATGGGATCTTGGTATTGGCTCTATAGATGAGAAGCTGTTTCCATCTGCTTTGTGGTGGATTATTTGCCAAAATGTTGATATCTGGTGTCCTCATGCTTCTAAAAAAGATTTGAAGAAGTTTCTTTTAGCTCTAATTCAGAACTCCCTTCCTTGTTTAAGCACGAATATGAGCGAGCTCAGGAATCATATAGAGAACTCTGGCTACGTGATTGGAGTCAACCGACATTTGGTCTCAGTGGAACTTCTGAGCAACACCATTTTATATGAACAAAGAGTAAGTTCTTGTGTAGCTTCTACAGCACATACATTTACCACAGTTTTTGCTTAGTAATGACCAACAAAATCTTCATGCATCACATGTCACAACTTTCTGAAAGAACCTTTCCATGCAAAATGTTACTTATTACCTTATCAAAAAAAAAATGTTACTTATTGATCCCTTAGGTAAGAAAATCTCAGCCAAAGAATGACACGACTAGGGAACAGGTTTATGCTCTTTGGTTCAACTGCAGGGTTCATGGGTATAACTGCACGTTTGATATTAAACTGAAGTAAAATTTCATCTAGTTATTGAAACACCCGCAGGAACATATTCATATGTGAAATCTATCCTGATATGCAAACTTGACTTACGTAGTAGTTTCTTAATGCCTGCTACAATTTGGATCTCAAGTTTGAGTCCTCCTGGAGGCAGATTTTTATAAAAGGGAAGAATCCACCCATTTCAAGGACCAGTATGGGTTGCGGGTAGAAGTAGACCATGTTCAGCTGGATTATGTAGTTCTCTGTGTCAGTTGCATAAGGGACCACATTAGCATCTCAAAGTTGTTCAGTACTTTGGACACTGCTCAAGTCCAGGTGTATTAGATTGGATAATCTTAGTCCAATTACTGCTTGCTAGTTTATCATTTTGTTTATTGTGCTGTCTGGTTACCTTATTGAGTTCTATTGGGTAGCTTCTTGTGGTGTTCTAACTGTATGTTATGATAGCCCATTTGCAGGCACATGGCATCCAGATTTTGCCAAATCTTGAAGAAGTCTGTGTCGTCAATATTTTCATATGTTGGAGAAGTTGATATAAACAGTTCACCTGATTGGGACAATGCTATACATGTGCTTGAAAAGTCATCTACAACATTTTTCAGACGTGATCATCCACAGGATAATGACTTATTACTGATAGAGTCAATCCATCATTTACTAAATGACATACCTGCAGAAGCTTGTGAAAAGGAACTAACTCCTAATTTTAACACAGAAATCACCAGATGCCGGGCATTTCTCAACCTTTTGAGCTGGATACCAAAAGGACATCTTAGTTCAAAATCGTTCTCACTTTATGCGACTAGCATTCTCAATATCGACAGGTAATATCACTCTTTCCCCTTTTTGCTGTTCTCATCAGACTTTAAATGCCTTTAGTATTGGCCGTTTGGAAAACTTTTAAATATTGACTTAACAACTTCAAGCTAGTAAATTCTTACTGTAATCTTATTTGTGAAAAGTTACCAAAATGATACTGAAATTGCATGATAAGCATTTAAAAATGTAGTCCAGTCTTGAGTTCAGTAACTATGAAACATGGGATACTTTCTAAACCCCAGTGATCCAGTCCTTTATCCGGCTATCAAGCATTATTGTCTTTCTGCATTGTCATTTAGATCTTTGGTTTTCAGCTGAAGCTTTGCTAAGAAGGCTTAAATATTTCAGGCTTGTAGTTGGCTGCCTGTTTGATCAGCATGGGTCAGTAGCTTTACGCAACTGTTATGAGCTCTTGAGGTTGCTTGTGACCTGCCGGAGAACCTTTAAAAATCTAATACTGGCATCATGCGAAGATAAGAAAGGTCATCAATCCTTGCTAGCTTGCTTGTTGTCGGAGAGCTCTCCTGTTATTTGGTTTATGAAGTCATTATCTGCGATAAATGGTTTTCAGAGTGCAATTTCTGGAGAGACTTCTCCTCAATTGAAACATATGAGTTTCGCATTGATGGATCACACATCTTTCATCCTTTTGACTCTGTTCAAAGATCAATTTAAAGTTATTCTTGCTTTGACTGCTGGGAAGTCTTATGCTGGAGCTCTCAGTTCTGTTGATGGCCATGAAGAGACTGATCTGAAAGAAAATGATCCATGTCCAGATTTCCTTGATAATGGTGATGCACGGAGAAGTGTTTTATCTGTAGCTGACACCTTAATGGAACATGCACAGGACTTGCTGGACTCCCTAAATGTAGTGTTTGTTAACAGAAAAGTGGGTGATCTAGCTGGGCTTCAGGAAATAGAAAAAGTCTCACCTGTAGTTTCCTGCTTTCAGGGCTTCTTATGTGGTCTAGCTTCTGCAATGGACAATTTGGATGTTAAAAGTAGCAGTCCTCTTATAGAATCAACAAGCTGCAACCTCAAACTTCTGTCCACAATGAAAACATGTGCGGACTTATTAAACTCCGTTTTGCATTTGTTGTTTCTTGAGAGTGATCAATGCACTCAAGGTTTGTCTAATACCCACTTTTCTATTGAGACAGAATTTTGCAATAAACTGTTGCCAATGAGAACTCACCCATCTAGGGACTCTGCTAATGAGGTTGATTCTGTGAATAAGGAAGAACAGCATTCTGGTTCCGCTGGCTCCGGTTTTGAGTCTCTTTTGGCCAATGTAGACTTTGAGCAACAATATTTGAGAAAATCTCTGTTACAAGGACTTTTCAAAGGAGAGAATCTTGAAGCAGCATTTTGTCTGCGGCAAATTTTCAATGCTTCTTCAGCTATTCTAAAATTCTCGTTGCATACAAAGTCTACTTCCTTGCTGTCGAGTCTACTTCCCATACTAGTCCGAGTTTCTCAAGTTTTGCTTTTTGAGTTTGCCAACCATAGTGGGGCACTAGAACAGTTTTCTTTTATTTGGTTGGATGGTGTTGTGAAGTTCATTGGAGAGCTGGGAAAAATATTTCTACTGCTTAATCCTTTGTCTTCTAGAGATTTCTTTGTCAAGCAAATAGAATTGCATCTGAGGGCCATGGGGAAGTGCATATCGTTACAAGGGAAGGACGCTACTGTAGCATCACGAGAGATAGAATCAAGTACCAAGATGCTAAGTGGTCTGCCAGAACTTGACCTACCCAACTCCAATTGGCTAAATCACTTGGATGAGTTAAAATCCAGATTGAGGATGTCATTTGCGAATTTTGTCAGCAGATCTTCTGAATTGCATTTATTGTCTGCTATTCAGGCTATTGAGAGAGCATTAGTTGGTGTGCAGGAACACTGCATTATTAACTATGAGGTAACTACTGGAAGTTCAGATGGAGGAAAGGTCTCGGCTAATGTTGCTGCAGGCATTGATTGCTTGGATTTGATTCTTGAATCTGTATCAGGTAAGTACTATTTTATATCCAAGGTTTACTTTCAAATACTAAGAGAAATGCAAGATACGTGCCACATCTTTTGCATCAAAAATCATTACTGTCATTTGAGCTTCGCAAATGATGGCATCTTTTTCTCACAGATATTGGCATAATTTTGTCCAGATGTTTAAAAATAAGAGAGAAATCAAGCTCATTGGAATGCAAGAAAGATCAGGAGATGATATATTTATTTTTCAGTTTACCTTGTGAAGGTTAAGAAAACACTGTTTGTTGTCGTACTTGTCGACTTGAAATTAACTGAATAGCTCTAACAATCAGGTGCTCACTATGCTATTACTAACGGTTTGGATGTGGGAAAAAAAATCCTAATGGTCTGAAAGGATATTTTTGAGTAAGAGCATGGCTGCGTAAATAGTTTCTAAATCCTCCAGGTGCTGCATTAACATGAAATATTAGAGTTCTGGTTTGGACAGATGAGTAACTTAAGTCATAAATGATAATTCACAAGAGGAGCGTGTTGACTGGAAGGAAGAGAATAGCATCGCTTCCCTGGAAAAGGGGGACTTTTGATTCTTTCCATTCGTGATTTTTCGCCTTTCTAAAGAATCTTTTCACAGGGGGTGTTTACTTTTAGAACACAAAATTAATCAAAAGGAACAATAATTGCCTTGGGTTTCTTCATGGCATATAAAGAGGCTAAGAGGACATCAGTTTAGGAACTTTTTTTTTTTATATGGGTCAGTTTAGGAATTTATTAATGTGTTCTGAGGCAAAGTACTTGCGAAGATTTCTATTTATGCATGAGTTCTCTCTGGAGCCTGTGCTGTTATTTGTTTGTCTGTTGGGTGGTCTAGGGAGTTGATTCTTCTTCATATTAAGTAGCAAAGTCTCAATACTTTTGCCTCTATACTTAAGTTTGTCAGACTTGTGCTTATACTTGGGGTTTTGTATCTATCCTTTTTATCTTTTTTATAGGACGTAAGAAGTTGGCTGTGGTCAAAAGGCATATCCAGAGCTTAGTATCGTCTCTACTCAATATAGTCCTGCACTTGCAAGGTCCCAAGATCTTTTTCAGAAATCTTAAGTTCAGGAAAGATTTTGCTGAACCCGACCCTGGCTCTGTCTGTCTTATGTGCATTTCGGTGCTGACAAAAATTTCTGCCAAACACGCCTTCTTCCAATTGGAAGCATGCCATATTGGGCAGTTATTGCATATGCCTGCTGCAATATTTCAGAGTATTTTCCAGCTTTGGATATCCAAAGGTCCTCTTTGTTCTAATTATACAGGAGGCTTGATGTTCGGAGAAACTGAGGTTCCTCGAACCGAAAGAAGTGCTGTGGATAGACAATTTTGCATAAAGTTATATGCGGCATGCTGCCGCATGCTGTGTAATGTTCTTAAGCATCACAGAAGGTTTGCTGCCTCCTATTCTTGTTTCCTTCAACTCAGAAATATTCATGGACTTTTCCTTATTTTTCACAGTAGTGATTTATGATGATTCCTGGGGAAATTTAAAAGAGAGAAAGACTCGTTATAGATGTGTGGACGTTGAGCAATCTTTCCCTTATAAATCCTGATTTATTATCTTGGTTTTCGCTCTAATGTGTAGTGAGGCACGGCGCTGCATCGCTCTTCTGGAAGATTCAGTTGGCAGGCTCCTTAATTGTTTGGAGATGGTATGCACTAGTCCAGTTGAAGGAGATTATTTTGGATGGGAAGTGCAAGAAGGAGTAAAATGCGCCAGTTTCCTTCGAAGGGTGTACGAAGAGGTAAGGTTACTTGTACATTCTACCCTGTCAATAGTGGAGCTTTCAAATACTTGAACTTTGGGTTAACCAGATCCAAGCACTTCCTGCCTGCATCATATATGGATGTTGCCTTTTTGCTCTTCTGAAAAAATGGGAGTAAAAGGCAGATGGATTTCGGGCTTTAAAGGTTGATTGTGGATACTGATGCTTAGGCTGATGAGCGGTTTATGATTCGAAATTCTTGGCCCTGGCAAAAGTCGAGCATACTATAAACAGTGCTCTAATTTTTTTGGGATAACTGTGGTGTCCGGGCCAACTTTGCACACCTCGACTAATTCCACTGATAACGAACCTTCTACCAGCACAGGTACCGGTTGACTCTGTCCACCACCAAGGCTTGGACAGATGGGAAGAAACACCTAGTGCTTTTGCCTCCGCTGGGATTTGAACCTAAGACTTCATGATTTTCACCCTACTTCATCGACCACTACTTGGTTGTTGGATGAACTTGCCTTGAGCTTCATCCTCCTTTTTGGATTTCTTGAACATGTTAGTTGTAAGCTTGATTTGGTCATCAATCAGTTTTGAGGTTGTTCCCATTCATTATTAGCTTGGTACTGAATATTTTTTTATTTGGATTCGTTTACTAGCTTCGTACTGAATGTTATTAATAAATTTTACTTCTATTTGTCACAAAGAGAAAAGTTCTGAGGTTGTTGAAACTAGAAAACATAGGAAGCATATTACCGCTCCTCTCTTTTGATTCCAGATAATATGAGAAGTTGGTTTCTTGTCTCATTTACTCTTTAGAAGGGTACTAGTGCAAGTTTCAGATTTGGGTCATCAATGCATTAGTTGCTTTCACTGTTTGTATCTTTCATACGATGACTGCTCCTTTTCCATTTTGCAGATTAGGCAGCAAAAAGATGTCTACGGTGACCATTGTTTTCAATTCCTATCTTGCTACATATGGGTTTACTGCGGATATGGTCGCCTTAGAAATGGAATCATCCGGTAACTTTTTGTTGTATTCACTTTTGATTTCATGTTAGAGGCAAAATATGATTTGCATTTTTGATTCCTGTTTTCCAACTTTAATGATTTTTTCCTTTTAACTATGAAGGGAAATTGATGAAGCTCTAAGACCTGGTGTCTATGCTTTAATAGATGCTTGTTCAGCAGATGATCTTCAACGTCTTCACACAGTATTTGGAGGTGAGCAATCTCAACCTGCTCTTAAGTTTGAAGAATTTTGAGCTATTAGTTGTCTCACTATTTTTATTTTATTTTCTTTACAGAGGGGCCCTGCAGAAGCACCCTTGCGACTTTGCAACATGATTACAAGGTCCATTTCCAATATGAAGGAAAAGTGTGATTGATCATTTTAACTACCTTTGTTGGCTAAGTCTTCCTTGTGGAGGATCTGTATAACTATTGCTTTTGCGAGCAAAGTCTGCATTGTGGAGGAAACAAATAAGAATTGCATAGTAATATTGCCAGTGAAGCAACCTCGACATTGCAGCATTGCTCTCGAGGTTTAAGGCTTGCAAGATGGTTTGCTTAGAGGAGAATATATTCCAAGAGATCAAGATTTTTTGTTCAATTGCAGCACGCGCAACAGCAATGCCGCTCTTGATCCACTTTTCAAGACCAAGGGATGAAGGCTAATGAAAGCGAAGTGTGAAGATTTAAGGTTTGCTTGTGCTCAGCTGCTAATGTTGTAGCAAACTGTATACACGCCCTTCAGCAAAATCTGACACATTTTGTACAAAAACGATTTTGCCGAGCTCGAGCCTTGGGTGTTCCCCTGTACCTGTATGGCTAGAAGTATTATGCCTCTTTTCAATTATTTGATGATTCAAGGGCCGTATAATTATTGTCTTTGCGGTCACTTTGAGTTGTAGAGTATTACTATTACATGTCAGTGCACGAACATTGGGAAAAATGAGCGAGATTCTGTTAAGAATTATAAAGTAGGCATAGAAATATGCAACCCCCCCCCCCCCCCCCCCCCCAGCCACTGCTACATGTTAAGGAAAAAGAGTTTTGATCAAACGTTTTCTTAGAACCTAGCGATGGATTGTCCGTAGGTTCAATACTCATTAATTTAGATAATTCTCATTAATTATATAAGAGCAGTGAGCAAAGTGAATGTAGTTTCTGTACTCAATTTGCAATCACTTGCATTTATAAGTCAAGTGTTGCATTTTAAAGAAGTTTTATATATAACCAGCCAACCACGATAACATTTAGATTCATATTCTAGAATAAAGCTATTAGGCAATCTCATTTTATCCTGTGCTAATGCAAATATTCTTACTTTTTTCTGATAACTGAGAAATCCACTGCGAATTGACTGATCACATCCCAATAACGCTCACAGCTTTGGAACCCGAGGGAGTATAGCCTGTCCATCTACCTTCTTAAATTCCAGACTTCACTCAGTTGCAAGGTTTGAACTTGTCAAGTGTGCCTACCCTAATCCACACTCACGCTCTACATCCTTACCCATTGAGCCAAATTTCTGGCCACGTCCTTGCTGTTTGTATGTGGCTATGCAATATAAGCTTACATTCTGGTGGTGGTACTCGAGATCAGAGGCAGGTCTCGGATTTATACTTTATGGGTTCAGATTTTGCAATTTTACCACTTCTCATCTAATTTAATGGGTTCAAAATTTATTATTTGTACGTATTTATTAATTTTTTAGACAAAAATAAAGGGCACGAGTGAAAGCTATGTGTTCAGTTGAACCCATAATTTTTACACTGGATACGCCTCTGCTTGAGATCATACCATGCAGTGCGCTGGGACTATGTAACACACTATAGTATGTATCAGATACTAATAATAGGTTGGGCCGAGTTATGGTAGAGATAGTTCACTCTATTCTTTCTTCTTTGACGACTCATTTGAGGGACAGAAAGGCAGGACATAAAGAAAAACAAAATAAACATAAGCAGTATGACCAAGATTGCAATAATCCACGGACATACTCTGCAACTTTGTTTATAACTGAAGTTGTTTTCCTAACGTTGATATGGAGGCCAGAAATTCATTCTCCAAAGAAATACACTTGTCTTCTTACAAGGGTGGTATCAGAGTATATGCTTTGCACATGGTTTCTCCCTAACCTACTTTTCCTTTCTGAACTAAGGTGGCCTCGAGCATCTGAAACCAAATTGTAGTTTAAGTAACAAAAGCAGAAAATGAACTCATGAACTAAGGCGTAGCAGCACTAACGCCGCCGGCATGGCGGCCACTGCCAGGAAAGCCTTCACCTTTGGCGGTTGCCGTCGAACCCATGTTGATACGGCGTGGATCGGCTTCCTCGGCGTCGAACCCAGGGACGAGAATGACCGAAAAGTATAACGGGTGGCACAAGTAACCAATAAACAACAGTAGAGGGGCAATTTTGACCCTTTTCCCTATTAAATGTGATGGATGAGAAGTTACAAATGAAGAGTTGGAAAGTTATCAAAATTCCATGAGTCAAAACTCATTCTTAAATTGGTCTCTGATTCTTCTGGCACTGGTATTTCTCTAAGCCATTTATTTTCCACGACGACAACCCATGATAAATGATCAAGCAGCTACCTTCTTGGATGTCACAGAATTAACAATGGAGGCAAACTCAGGACCCTGCAACATAGAATATTAAGCTTAGTGAGAAGTTCTAAAATGCAGGTCAGCTTTAAATCTTCAACAAATTTTTTCAAATGGAGGGCTCAGTTTTGACAGTGTCAATAAGAAAGAAATATGCAGACCAACTGTGTTGGTTTACTACACAGTTAATCAAACTAATTGCAATGTTTAATTTCGTTGCGCAACCTACTTTATCTATCTCCATGTAAATTTATAAGGTACAACCACCACCTATAGCCGATCAGTTCTTAACTTTATGCCCTATATAACAGCAATAGTGGGGTCCCAGACATTTCAAGGTGTCTGCGCTGCATTTCTCAAATGAGCGTCTTAGCTTTCGCCTGCCATCATATTCACACAGCATAATGACCAGTCAACAGTTGACAGGGGCTAGCAAAACCCATATAATGCACTTCTGCTGGTCCTACTTAATTGACCTCCAGCCAGCTTCTTCCTCAATGCACCCCACAGTTCCCTTCAACCACCAAGCTCTTGATTTTGCATCAAGCAACAGCGCCATGCACTCAGACTATCAAGGTTCTTCAAACTAAACTACACATGTTGCTAGAGTTCTTTCCGGACCAACTTAGGGTCTCCACGGAGATTGCAGTAGCTGCCCACCAAAACCAAAGAATGTTGTGTCCAAGAAATAGGGTAGGCCAATGTATATAGTCACTGGGAACAACAGCTTCTAGGTATGGTTCTTTTTCTACAAATGCCAGAGAATCTTGGCAGCTAAAGTTCAACAGCTTAGCCATATGCTACTTCTATTTTTTTGTCCAGGACATAACTCATGCAAGTTTCAATCATTTCCACTGATTCCACTTAAAATATGGTACACTCCATATTCTACAGTTGACAAGGAAATTAAGAAATATTACCAGCTAGATGCATCTACTTAGCAATTACAAGGTTTACCTTCAAGGAAGCACCCCCTACTAGAAAGCCATCAATATCTTCCTTCTTTGCAAGGTCAGAACAGTTGCTTCCATTAGCAGAGCCTGTCAAAAAGTTACAATTTTAGGAACCATACCGATCACTTGTCAGTGACAAAAAACCTAGGCATATCAACAGCTAAGAAGGTGCAAACAGGATTTTGAACACAAGATAGACCTTTTCAGGAGACAGACAAATTAATGAAGACAATGTCTCAAGTTTAACAATGCATCAAAGTTCTTTGCTGACTTCAAAATAAAAAAAAATCCTCAAAAAACAAATGAAATAAAATTCAACAAAAAGAACAGTTTACAACTGCAAATTTTGACACCCTAAGGCTCCACATAATTCAAGTGGAAGAGGAGAATTTTCAATACCTAGTTGACATGATACCAGACCAAAACACAGATGCAATCTTAAAGTTTTAACAACTCATACATTCTCATGAAGGAAACATGGAGAAGAGAAGTTATTTATATGTGATTTCAACACTCAAATTCAAGGAATACCTCCATATATAATGCGTGTTTTGGAAGCAACTTCTGCTGAGACATTCTTACTAAGCCAATCACGAACAGCTGCATGCACCTCCTGAGCCTGCTCAGGTGTCGCCACTTTACCAGTTCCAATAGCCCATACAGGCTCATATGCAATGACAACATTATCCCAACTTGGTAAAGCATCTGGACATCACCGAAAAATTCAATCAAGCAGATTTAAGAAAGATAAAGCTTTCGCATGTAATGCTTTTAGCACAGGGATAAATTCATCAAGAGAAGTCAAGAAATATAAATCCATCCCTGCCCCAAGTGACTAATTTTTTGTTTTTATAGAACATAATTAGCAAAACCTGACCTGCAAAAGCCTTCAATTGCTGGAAACATACATCAAAAGTTTTTCCCGCTTCTCTTTCCTCTAATAGCTCTCCAATACAAGCTATAACTCCAATGTTCTGGCTCAAAGCATAAGCAGCTTTCTTCCCAATAAACTGCACGACAGAATGGCCCAGTCAAGTCCTGAATGAACAGCTCAATGCACAGCGAAGTATCATCAAAACCTGGCAAAAGCTTTAGTTTGCTCCACTCGTGATCAAATAACTTAGCTCTTTCATAAGTTCCATAAATCTAATAGTTCTTACGAAAAGCCTTACTTCATCATTTTCTCCAATTATATGTCTACGCTCAGAATGCCCAAGAATGACCCACTTGCAGCCAAGATCTTTCAACTGTTCCACACTACAGATGTGAAAGAAAATATATTATAAAGTGAAAGGAGTTAAATTAACAGGAGAGTAATTGGCCCCATGCTTGATTTATTACATATGTTGAAGTCATACGTCATGACAATGAAAGAAATTGTGCCCCCTGCCAATCATTACCTAAGGAACCATGTCTTGTTTTCTGGGTGGGGGTGGGGGGTAAAACAAGTTCAGTTCAAAGGTATACAGCTTAGGTTCAAATGTCATAGTTTGATGACTAATTGACTATACAACACGCTGCATGGAATACAATAAAGTAATATCGAACTGAAACCCGACACAGTAAGAACTCCAAAATCCTACAGTCAGATAACAATAACCATAGGGAGAACACATAAAGGGGCTTCTGGTCTGAACTACTGAATCATGCAGGCTCTATATTGGTCAAATCTAGTTAAGACTTTCTTATTAAAACATAGAAGAAAAAGAGATGTTTGATGCACCTTGGAAGGATCCAAACCAATTAGAACTAAACTGGGTATCAGGTAAGCTTGTGGATAGATTCATTAGCCATCACTGTCAAGTCAAAATTATTTTCCTAAGTAAATCTTGGTCTGGGTTTTCAGAAATTTGGAAACACTGCAAGCTCGTATTCGAAACCAAACTTTGACGACTTAGCACAACCAGCATTTTGACGACCCAAAGGGTCATCACCTGTTTTCTCTTTCATTCCGTGCTTTCGAGGCCTTGAAAACCTCATTTTTACTTGATCGATTTGCGTGCGCAGTCCGAGCGCGTAGCCGGAAAGCTTAAATATGAATTCTGTATAAAAATTGATGAATTTTGATATTAATATGATTAAAGTTGACTTTGGTCAACATTTTGGGTAAACGGACCCGGACCCGTGAATTGACGGTCCCGGAGGGTCCGTAGAAAAATATGGGACTCGGGCGTATGCCCGGAATCGAAATCCGAGATCCCGAGCCCGAGAAATGAATTTTTAAAAGAAATTGTTTTTCTGGAATTTAAGATGGAAATTTGAAATGAAAATGGATTAGAAAGTATTGGTATCAGGCCCGTATTTTGGTTCCGGCGCCCGGTACAGGTCTTATATGTGGTTTAAGCGCTTCCTATGAAATTTGGTCGAAATCGGACGTCGTTTGACGTGTTTCGGACCTAAATATCTAAAAATGAAGGTCTATGAAGTTTGATGAAAAAGTAATGATTTTGGGGTTTGATTCCTCGTTTTTTATGTTATTTTGGCGATTTGATCGCACGGTTAAGTTCGTAGGGTGTTGTTGAGTTAGTGTACGTGTTTGGTTAGGAGCCCCGAGGGCTCGGGAGTGTTTTCGGGGGTGTTCGGGGTGGTTGAACTTAGAGAAAAATTGCAGAAAATCACTGGTGCTGCACCAGTTCTGGTGTAACCGCACCTGCGGTCCTTTGGCCGCAGATGCGGACTCGCAGGTGCGAACAGCGGGTCGCAGATGCGGTCTCCTTCGCAGATGTGGATTCCTACCCCACAGATGCGGTCCGCAGAAGCGATCTTTTCTTCGCAGGTGCGGCTCCGGCGGGGCCTAGCCATTTCCGCAGAAGCGCCCATTTTTCCGCACGTGCGGTGGCGCAGGTGCGACCCCTGTACCGCAGATGCGGAAGTCGGGCAGTGAGTCTTTCTTTTAAAAACATAACTTCAACAATTTTCTTTCAAACTTTCTCAACAATTAGAAGACTAGGGCGATTTTCTCAAGAGATTTTCTTCTCAAATCACAAGTAAGCACTTACTAACTGATTTCTTTCCATTATCTAGTGTTTTCATCAACTTTTATCAATAATCTTAGGGTTTTAATGGTAGAAAATTAGGGAAATGGGTAGAGTTAGGGTTTTTCGATTTTCTTTGATTTAGACCTCGTTTTGGGGTCGAATTTGAAAATAAATTGTATATCCGGGCTCGTGGGGGAATGGGTAACATGGAATTGGTTCGAACCTCGGGTTTTGACCAAGCGGGCCCGGGGTCGATTTTTGGGATTTTGGGAAGAAAGCTTAGAAATCTATATTTAGGCTTTGGGTTTAGTTTGTTTAGCTATTATTGATATTATAAAGTCATTATTTCATAGATTTGACTGAGTTGGAGCCGAATTCGAGGGGTAAAGCTATACTAGAGGCTTGAGTTGAGTTTGGAGCATTCGAGGTAAGTGTTTGATCTAACTTTGGGTTGAGGGAATAGGATTAGAGTATTATTTGCTAATTGCTAAATGTGGAGTACGGTGTATAGGCATGGTGACGAGTATCTATACACCGGTGTCTAGCATGACCGTGAGTCCTTATTTGTGCTTATTTGGGATTCTGTAGTGACTCTTCCTTGTTTAATTGATGGTTGCTATATAATGTGAACAGTATGAAGAGGAAATATGGCTTGTAAACTCCTTGGAGCGTTGGCTCGAATTATGACTTGGTTAGGAAGTAAGAAATGAACGAAAGAGAAAGAGATGTAATTATTCCCTTGTCGGGACGTGTAAGTTATTGTCGTTGTTCCCTTGCCGGGAACTAGCTGTTTACTTGTATTCTCCCTCGCCGGGATAGTTGAATTGATACTTGTTCCCTTGTCGGGAATCATATATACATTTTGAGAAGGGATCGTGTGGCACCGACCACTTATATATTATGAAATGGGATCGTGTGGCACGTCGACCACTTATATATTATGAAGTGGGATCGCGTGGCACGCCGACCACTTATATATTATGAAATGGGATCGTGTGGCACGCCGACCACTTATATATTATGAAATGGGATCGTGTGGCACGCCGACCACGTATTCTGTGTTAGAAGAGATTAGTTGTAGTTTTCCTTATTTATTCCTACCGTTCTATTTTATCTGTTATCCCCAAAAGCATGTTCCCCTCCCAGTCTTAATTATTACTTTCCGCTGTTATTTTTTTTGTAGTGTTTGTATATATATATATCTGCACAGGTTGATTGGTAGTCCTGTCTAGCCTAGTCACTACTTCGCCGGGGTTAGGGCACTTACCAGCACATGGGGTCGGTTGTGCTGGTGCTACACTCCGTGCATCTTTTTGCACAGATCACAGTACCGGAGCAGGAGCTTTTGGACAGCAGTAGGAGCATTGGGAGCTGACTTCAGTCCAGAGATTCCCGAGGTAGCCTTGCTGACGTCCGCATGGCCCGGAGTCTCTCTTATCCTTGTTTTTCGTTTGATTTCCTTTGTATCGGATCAGATAGTACTGTGTTTTATTCAGACTTTGTATTTAGCATTCTGTAGAAGTTCGTGAGTTAGTGACACCAGATCTGGGTAGAGATGTATTTGAGTTTCCGCACTTGGTTTCAGTTATTTATGTTTTGAGACTTCCGCTTTTATATTAATTGTCTCGTCTTCCTTTATATTGTTGATGTTGTCAAGAGAGGTATTAAATTAATTGGCTTGCCTAGCTCCTATTAGTAGGCGCCATCACGGCTCCCGAAGGTGGGAAATCCGGGTCGTGACAAGCATATACTGAAGAACATAGCAATTTTGGCGCATTAACTAATTTAGATTTGACTTAAAACGGCGCTTAACCTGATTTCACCCGTGAAAGCTCCACCTTTGCCAGTCCAACAATTTTGAGCAGAAATCTCAATCCTATCAGTTAGTGAACTCTTTACTTGATCAATGTACAGAAAGGGAGGTGCTACAACCACATCTGCAAATTTTCAAAAAGACAGATTCTTTTGTGTTAGCAACTGATTCAGAAATATCTATCTAAATGCTACAAAATTAATAGCATATCTATCTAAATGCTACAGAACTAATAGCATTTTCAGCATTGTCGATAAATTGACCGAAGAAGATGAAAAATTCAACATCACAGGTGGCAAAAAGTGTCTTCTTTTTGTGTGGGTTTGATATTACAATGCAGCAACCATAAGTGTGGATACTTTGAGAGGACTGGACTATCCATACCAAAGGTCCATGACACTTAGGACCATGGACAATCCAATTACATATATTGGTACTACAACAATTTTCTTTTGGTACTACGTAGCCGAAAGAGGAAGCGATGCAAGAAGAAACAAAGAGAATGAGAGTAAGAGTGGAGGAAACTGAATTATCTGAAATGCAGCAGAACTGCAAAGAAGAAACACCTTAACATAAGCATCATCTTCTTTTCTTTTCTTTTTTTGCGTCCTTTTCATGCCTACTTTAACATTCTTTGAGCAAGCTAATTAACATGGGTTCCTTCTGAGTCCTACGGCTAGAACATCTAAGAGAACTTGTTTTCCAATATTTAACTGCAGTTCTAGCCTCTAGGTTTGTAAAGGGCTGAGCATCAACAGGACATGTGGATAGGCAGCGTCTCAACACTCTGATTGCAAATTTTCACAATATATACAACAAACTTCGCCCCCCCCCCCCCCACCCCCACACACACACACAAACACACACCAACCCAGACCTTCTGCAACTCCAAATTTTCTGATTTTTCTATTAAGCCTTGTATAATCATATCCAATCATACCAGTTTCACCAAGACTATGGAAATAATTATTCCGGATTGCAAATTCAAGCAAAAAAGAAAACAAGAGCAAGGTGTTATCCGAGTGATCTTGACAAACAGCGTGATATCATCCTTGAACAGAACAATGAAAGCGATACGCACAACAAGCCATGCTGAACTAAGGGAGACAAGTAGAAATCAGCAAACTAAGATCATTGTGGCAATTATTACAAGCTTACAAATGTTACTCCGTAATCAAATCTTAATAGGGTAGAAAGCCATCAGGACAGCTTCATAGAAATGTTGATATAAACATACACATAGATGATAATGGGATGTGAACAACATGGAAAAATAGATGATAATGGGATGTGAACAGCATGGAAAAACTCACCAACATCAGACTCGAGCTTTGCACTGTTCAGATCAGAGATAAGCTTGCTTATGGAGTCCTTTGTTCCATTCTGAGAGAAACATGGATGAACATAATGAAGATGAAGCGCGTGGGGAATACATGCCACCAGTCATAAAGAATGCAAGGAGTGGTTTCGATTAAATAATGAGAGAAGAGGAAGTAATATGTCATACTTACACATTTCCAATTGCCACCAACAAAGAACTGCAAGCAAGAAGAAAGCTAAGATCAGACATCCAATAGGAAAAGGCGAATACTTTAAAAGTTTAAGTGTGTTATAGGAGGGTAGAGGAAGCTACTATTCAGGAAAGACCATTGTACCGATATGGGTTGCAAGTACTTTCACTTCTCCTCTTTTTTCGAAGTTTCAGATTTCACATTTGCTGTTTAACAAAACCAACTCTTAACTTTTTGTTGTCCCCTCTATTTTCTCTTTAGTTTCAACTTCTGTTCTGATTTATTAACAAAAGTGAGCTCCTGTTATGAAGGAATAGTTCAAATATTTCCCTAGTTGAGCAGAAACAAGCAATCTTGTAAGTTGCTTGGTTATATTAGGTGGTTAGTGGTGGTGGGAGACTTCATTAAGATAGTCTCTCTATGTATATTCTACTTGGAGATGGGAAGATTTCTTCTAGTAAGAGAAATTCTTTCGCCCTTTTCGAACATCAACTGCTGCTAATGTAATTGGTTTGGAACAAACAGTCAAGTTGAGTTGCTACAATAAATGATAGGCTGTGGTTGGGGCATAAAGTTCTAATTTTTTCCAACAATATGTGTTCTGTAAACAAATTCTCTTTTTTCACTTCTATATCTCTAAGGAAACAAAACATTTCATTTAACAATGATACAAGGAACTTAAGATTTTTACTACCTCTAAATTGGAGAATACCTTTTCCCACACTCTAATCACTGTTTGTCACAGAAATGTAATATTTGAACACTATACAGTCTATGCATAAGCCAATTTCAACTAGTTTAGGATTTATGCGTAGTTGATTAATATTCAATTAACAATGTAACAAAGAGGTACCCCCAAATTACAGCTTCAAAATACTTATTTCTTGCTTATGATTTGCTGTTTTTTTAAATAGTAATGATATTGATCCAAATTACTACCCAAAAAAGCAGCCTTTTTATTATCTTTCTCGAATTTCAGTAAAAGTAAAAACAGTAAAAACATTCACCAACTCAACAAATCAACATCAAGTTTAAAAATGTAATACCGCAATGAATGTATTATAAATGTGTGAATCATCTCATCTAAAAAACTCAATTAAGCGGTTTTACCTTGCCGGAGCCGGCCATGGTGACGACGGCTCTGCAACCTTTCTGAGACGAAGAAAGGCGAAGGTGAGAGTCAACATTTTGGAAAAAGGATCGAGTAGTGGAAAGGGAAACAGAGTTCAAAGAAGACGGTCGGAGGCCAGAGAACTGAGGACATGAATAGGAGGATTTGGGGCCAGAGAGTTGAGAAGCTAAAGAAGAAGTTGAAGCTACCGCCATTTTCCACAACTGTGTGAAGATTAAAGGTGTGTTTCAAATGGCAGCTTTTTCTTCTCTGATTTTTGGTGGTTGTTGGGAACATCTATTAGTGTTATCTATCGGCTTGCTTCACGATTCATTGCGGTGCGTGAATATCACGTTCCCAAAACCTCTTTCAATTTTATAAAACAAAGGCAAAGTAGCCTAATAAACACTTCTACTTGTCCCGCTTTGTCATCCCGCTCCCGATACTCTACGAAGTTTCATCCAGACACTTGTAGTTTTCAAAACACATTATTTTAAACCCCTTCGGCCTCGCGTGTTCTTCAAACACACGATGTGGATGACACATCATAGTGGATGACACATCATAGTCCACATCAGATTTTAAATTATTTTTCTTCTTATTATAATCATTTTTAGTTTAACTTTTTTATACTTACTCTCATTATACGCGTGAAATTCACGTATTTTGTCCAACTCAGCCATGAAGTTGCCACATATGTTTGGTCAACGGTCAGAGGGGTTTAAAATAATGTATTTTAAAAACTACAAGTGTCTGGATGAAACTTCGTAAAGTATCGGGACCGGGATGACAAAGCGGGATAAGTAGAAGTGTTTATTAGGCTATTCTGCCTAAAACAAATTCAAAGGTAGGTGAGAATCAAATGGTGGAGCGGTAAGTACTCTTCATCCTTAACCAGAGTTTGAGCCCCTGGGTATGGAGTCGCATTTGTTAGGGAGCACTTTAGTTACAAGGTTACTTTTTAGTTTCTTTTCTTTTATTTTTATTTTAATTTATTTTCTTTATAACTTTTTATTTCTATTATTTTAAATTTTTAAATTTATTTTTACTTTTAATTTCTTTTGAAATTTTAAAATATATTTTTGTTTGTATATTATTTATTTTTTATTTCTCTATCTTTACTTCTTGTGATTCCATGTAATTGCTTATATTTTATTTTTTATTTATTTTATAATTCTATTTTTTGAAACTACACCTCCTAATATTAGAAATAATAAGTCATTACCAAACTTATCATATAATGAGTGTTGCAATTAAAGCGAAATTTCGTTGTTGAATGTAGTTATAAACTTATCATTTTTCCTAATCTTAAGTTGCACTGGAACTTACTATTATTATGTTGGAATTTGACTTATGTTAAATTATTTTATTTTATTTTGAATTTTGAAATTGTGTTATATTCATGGTTCCAATTTACTTATTTTAGTAGCATTGGCTCACATTACATGTTGTTCGTTTTTTAGTTAGAATTGATAGATTAGTTTTGTCAAACAGAAATATTAATTTATTTTATCAAACATGAATTCCATGATGTTCTTACAAAACATATATTTTTAATTTTTGTAAGTATCTAAACTAAATATTATTAATTTAAAATATATATATAAATTATTTTTATAATATTAGTTATAAATATATGATTACTAAATTAATGTATATTCACAAAAAAATATACATCTTAAATACAAAATATAATATCATTTATACTTATAAAAAATTATAGGCGTATATTTATTATATTAACTTTTAGGTTTTGATAATTGCTTAATTAAAATTTAATTCTAATTGTGTAATTGCACTTGTGCAACCAAACAGTAAACTTGTAATTACACTGTAATTACAAATATGTCATCATAATTACACAACTGTGTAATTACTACCCTAGTAATTACATCAATTCCAATTACATGGTGGCTTTCCAAACAAACTCTTACTTGTCTATTATTTTTTTCTATGTTTTACCATTATCATTAAATATTTATTCCCCAAATCATTTTTCAAGACTTTTGAAAATGCTATCATTATTATGGATAAAATTGTAAAATACATACTTCATTTATTTTTTTCTTCAAGGGAGTGCAAAATCAAAATTGAACAACTAAAAATGAACAAAGGGAGTAACACGTAAGGGAGGGGGTAACGGAGGGGTTTAATTGAATACCTTTCATTACAAAAATATATTGTGTAATAATTTAGATAAAAATTGAATTGTTCTGCCATATCTAAGTTGCTGATGAATTTCCTTGATATAAGGAAAAATGTAATATAAAATTATAGTAAAGTAATAAAGGTTATTTAAAAATTGATTTAAGCCTTAAATTCAAAGTCCATGTGTGATTTGTAGTATTTTTTGAATTCCTATACACTAGTATTTGTACCCGCGCGTTGTGCAAAAAATAATAAATATAATCTTTTATAAGAAAATATATTCTGAAAAAGACTGTATATACAACGGAGTATGAAAATGCTATTAATTTTTGGAATATGTAAATGTAATGAATATTCGCATAATGAAGTAATAAGAAACACAATGAGGAGAGTCCATAATGTTCTTTATAACCTCAATAAAGCAAGTCATGTATACTGGCTAGAGTGCCACATAAAAAGGTTTCTAATGGCTTGAAAATTCAAAAATACGACAACCATAGTATTTCAAGATAGAAAAATCAGACCTCATAACATATAGTTACGGGAAAATAATTACTCCCCACTTGCACAACCTTGACATCCACAATGTACACACTCTATTACAATAACTTCCCTGAGGTTCTTGGAGACATGACATGTTGCAAAGTTGTGATTCCGAGGGTATATGCAGTGCAAGCAGCAGAGACGCTCATATCCAGGCTGCATGTCAAAACATATATAGGAAATAAGAAAAAAATTAAATATAAGAAATAAACAGATAATATAAGTTGTAGAGGGAGTTGCCTTCAAATACCTTCGTCCACCTTTTAATATGCTGCTCTACCAAATGTCATGAATTTTTTTAGCACATGAAGTGCATTGTTTTTTCCTCCACGATAAATGATAAAAGTCCGACAATTTCTATGATAAGTACCCCAAACTCTCAAAGTTCTCGATATTGAAATATTTTTAATCATGTGGGATTGCGTCACCTAAGAGAAAGAAAGAAAGAAATTGAAGGCAACTTGGAGCGAGCATAGTTACACAAAAATAATAAAAAAAAAATTAAATGAAATCGCCTACTGTATTATTTTTACTGAGTGTTGAACTTGATCTCCTATATAGAGCGCAGAGAAGAAAGGAAGAATATACAATGTTGTCTCCAATGACGCTATTATGATGGTATAATATTTTAAAATCTAACATAAAATTGAGTCGGAAAAGGCAAACATGAATTCCAAAAGGACAGAGATAGAAATATGTCATTCTTTTTGGAACAAGACTAATAAGGAAAGTGTATCATCCAAATTAAAACTGAGGGAGTAGTATGAGTATCACTTTGGTTTCATGATTCACCTTTTTTGTCATACTTTCAGACACTTAAATTTTACGTAAACAAATAATATAACTATAGACAATGAGAAAGCAAATCAGCAAACACCTTTATAAGAATGACATTAAAGAAACATACTTTGGATCCAGCAACATAACTCCACATGAACCAAATGACTTTGTGAAAGTTCTTATTATTATGTCCACATCAACTGTGTCAATTCCCAAATTTCAGAGACACCCCAAATAACTCCTATGTTGTGAGCCTCACCTGAGCCTACAATGAGAAAATATATCAGATACAAAGACATGAGAAAGTTAAACCAAATGGAGTCTCATAAAGCCTAGGAAAAGAAAATTAGTGTCTCAAATAAAAGAGTGATTGGTATTATTGAGGCAATTATTATCATGCCAATGAAGAAGCAGAAGCTAGCTTTTAGAGCATTTATCAATGACTAAAATCATATTAATATCGTGCAGTACCTTGTATTTCTTGCACATGAAAACACTCTTCGGATGCTGGCATAGCTCCCCTTCCAATCTGTACATGCCCTCCAAATTAACAATTATGTTCTTTCATGGCGTGTGTGATCTGGGTTGTCCCTCAGAAATATATTCTTTCAAAACCTTCTCTAACTGAGAAATTCATAAAGAAGTAAGGGCAAAACAAAGCATAAATACTAAATAAGATGAACTTGCTGTATAAACATGTTATGACTAAAAGGACAAAGCCCAAGTTGCAGAAACATACTATTATGTTGAAAAATTCGAATAATAGCTTCAGACCCTCGAGCTACATTTACAATAGAGTTTTGGTTGAGAGAATTACTTATAATCGAACCTCCTTAAAAATGACCAAATTAAAAGAAAAATATAATCATAAATAAAACAGAAGAATAACTTTTAGAAATTCTTTGTACCTTTCCAATTAAAATTGGAAGTATGGCTGAATTTGTTACACAACCATGCCTGTAATGATGCAGCTGGCTTGCCAACAAAATTAGCCGCACATTCTTCCAATTTTGTATGGATAATTGTAGTACCCGAGAAGATAAAATTTTAGAACCAAAGTTCACTACTCAAGGAGACACAACAATATTTTTTTTACAAAATCATGCTTACCTCCATCAACACAGGTAGTGTAAGTGCTCGCAAAATTTTTTATAAAAGACTCAATGACGCGAGGTATACAGTATATTCATTTGATGCAGCAAAACCAAGGTAGTTATATGAACTTAAGTTTAGGCACCTTGATACATTAGTGGTCTGCCTGTACATTATGTAAGTGCATGAAATGTAAGAGTAAATATAAAAATATCAATTATTCCTAAACTGTTGAAAATAATATGAATATAATATATAAACAACACTCTATTAGTTTCTGCAGCACGAGAAGCCAAAGTAACTTAACCTCCATACTTCTCTAATTATATATAAAAACGATGTGAGAAATTACAAAATTATGGAGAACAATTGATAAAATATTAAATAAAAAATACTTTAAATGAAAGATCCACGCTCACTTTAGTGTCTTCTTATTGTAATTGGACACACGCACCACCATATCAAACCAACCATGATCACAGACTACATATCAGAGTAAGTGTCATCGGAGAAACATTAATTTTTTAAAGAGAGTTACTGGATGTTATAGAACCAAAAGCTTTGGGTGAGGACAACATGAACTAATTTTAGCTCGAGACTGACAAAACAATTGACTTTGCTTGCATTTAGGACTGTTAATCCAGAATAATAGGCAATATGTACATTCTACAAATACTTTCCTTTTACTTATATCCTTATTACAAATTCAAATATTTTCAATCCGTAGAACCAAAAATGCAAGTAACAATCTACAAACTTGGAAAAGGGGAAGTTTA